ATCGTGGTTGTGCTGCTTTGGTTGTCCGTTTTGGCGAGGGAGGTGTATTGGAACGATCAAAAGTGGTATTGGCGCTGGGTTGGGTACTGGACTTGTCAAGAGTGCTGGCAAGTCTTAGGACTTGGTGGTGAAGTGGTGTAGCCAAAGGCATTGGTGGTAAAAAGTCTGCTGATGTTCCAAAGCTGTTTTCATGGTAGGCAGTAAGGCTTGTAGCTGCTGTATTCGACCTTGTAGACGAGGATCGTGATTGAAGTTGTCGGACTCGGCAAGCTGCAATTGTCTGATGGTGTCATTGAGTCGATTGAGTTGTTGGACCATCAGTCGATTGATCTGAATGTTGGTATCCTGCAATTGGGAAATAAGTTGAGCGTCCAGTGCAACGATAGGGTCCATCTCCATCAGGTGATGCAAAAACTGTACACAGAGAAAGCTAAGCGGTAATTGATCGAAAGCACAGCTGCGATACGACAGAAATGTTGAAAAGAAGCAGTATGAATCACAACAGAGCAATCAAAGTATAATGGATGAAAGCTTGGCATGCTTATGCAACTAACGGAGCTATTGAATTCCGGAAATCTGTGCAAATACTTCGCTGCAGTAACCGAGATTGTGAAGTGATTGTGAGATTAGTCGTGCGTAAGAGTGGTTGTGAGATTAGTCGTGTGTAAGAGTGGATAGACTGTAAGTGTGAAGTGAACTCAAAGGTCTCAGACTGCAAGTGGCAGTTGTTGGTAAGCTGCAAGCTGAAAGCTGCATCGGTACTTTTTGCTAGGACTGTGGAAGAGGTGAATGTTGAGGCTCGTTTTGTTGGAGTCTGTTGCTCGCAACTGCAAAGAAGAAACGCAAAGTGAAATAAATATATGTGAAAATCAGTACATAGATGTGAAAATCAGTACATAGGGCCTCAGAGGAGCTGAATGTGGTTCTTCAGGAAGTAGTGCAAAATCATAGTACAAAGCATGAAGCATAGTCCAATTGCGGTCAGGCCCGCAGAGGATCGCATAGAATATCTGGCTGTCCTTGGTCTCATGAGGCGTCCTGTAAGTCTGCTGCGGTGCCTGTGTCTGTGCGTTCGTTGTGTGGTGCGATGGCTTGTGATGTCATCGTGCCAGCATCTCGAGTAGCTGGTGGTTCAATCAATGCTGCAGCAGGTGATTTTGTGTTGTCGAGTGGTTGCGGTGTATAAAGTATCTGGAGAGTTTTCCAACGTGTTTTGCAATCGAAAGGTGTTTTGTTGAGTGTCTTGGAGATCTGCTTCCAACTGGGACGAGCTCGTTTGTTGAGCTTGAGTGATGCCAATTTCTCGTCATCACTGGGTTCCCAGCCTCCATTGTCTGGGTATGGAGGAGATGGTGTGTGAACCGGAATGGTCTGTCGTGGTGAAGAAGGTGGAGGTGGTGGTGGTGGTGTAGTGGAAGAACTGTGTAGAGAGAAGGTTGTTTGTGGAGGAGGCAGTCGCTTGCTTGGGTCAGGTGGAGGTGTTGGTGGTGAATGTTTGGTTGGTGGGTAACGTGTTGGTGACACCTGGTGTGGTGAAGTTGGCGTGTAAGAATGTGAAAGTGAGACTGACGGTTCGAGTTTGCATCGCGTGTGAAGTTTGCCTGTGGTTGGTGGTGTACTGCGACTGCGACGTGGTGTTGGAATGAGAGGTGGTGGTGGAGGTCTGTTGTGAAAATGTGGTGCGAGAGGATTGGGTAGTATGTCTGATGGTTGTGGTGTGAAAGATGGAAGGTTTTGGAATGTAGTAGCGATGGATGTGGCTGCTTGTAAATGCGCTAAGAGCAATCTGTGTGCTAGAGCAATGTCAAAAGGTGATGCCATTGTCCCGAATCTTGTGGTAGGGCTCGATCAGGTTGATGTATGGCCAGGTGCGGTTCAGGGACGGGGCAAATCGCAGAAATCACCGTTCAATTATTGCAGAAATGGCTGCGGACTGAGTCAAAGGTGGAGTCACTGAGTGAGAGTGGATCTGTGAATCTGTGAAAGCAGTGTGGTTGGTGGCATGCTACATCGTAAAGTGACGATGCATGGAAAACAGCAGTTGAAAGAATGGTATCAATCGATCAAAAACCTGTGTCAAATGGCGATGTAATCGATCGTTGAAAAGAAATAAATAAGTACTGAAGATCCAGAAAGACAGCGAATGATCAATAAGCAATAGTGTTTTGAGGTCGGGCGTCAACCGCAATGTAGGGGTGAAAAATGACCTTATACAGCTGGAAAGATCCGTCACGCTTTGGTGAGGTGCTTGATCTGTGGCCTCTCAGCTTAGATGAAGCTTAGTGGAGGTTTTGCATCACTTTTCCAGGCTATTCCTTCTATGCGTGAATGTTTCGGATGCACGACCCAGCATTTTCCAGGAGTGTATTTGACTATTCCCTCGCCACGAAGAAGGAGGTCATTGGCGGCGGATTCGCCGCCTGAGGTCACTTTCTGGCCGTGGCCGTAGGCCTTAATAGTCAGGATGAGGCCGCTCTTATTCTTGGCCATGTTTGAAGCATTGTAAAGTACGCGTGCTGCTTCAGTAGCGTCGTGTTCTTCATAGTTGCTAAGTTCGAAGGCCTGACTGAAAAACCCAACGTTATGTTGGTCATGCAGCACTGATCGCACGATTTCACCTGCTTCGAGTATGGAAATGATATTTCCTTCTTCACTTACACGTGCCGCGAAAATATGCTTTATTGGGGGAATGTTTAAAGCCTCTCTTCGTGTGGGGGGGGAGGGTCGGCGCGTCCCCTCTGCTAGCTAGTGTTGGAATGGTGAGTAGTAGGAAGGTGTGATGATCGTTGCTGTTGGTGTCCTCGTTCCACTTTGTATGAGTGAGAAGCTGCATGTCTGTAAAGTGAGTGCTGTTAATGTGAGCTGCTGTAAGCACTTTGGCCACGTACGAGATCATGGGTTCATTGTGGATGTCAAGTGATTGTGCATGGTTGTTGATCCATTGGAAAACTTCCAAATGTGCTGGATCTGTGGGTGGTTGAAATTTTGGTAGCTGAAGGTTGTGTGGTCGTCTTTGTACTGGGACGGCAGGAGTTTCTGCGGGTGGTGGTGGTGTGGGTGCTGTGGGCGTTGTAGTGGTGGTCTGCTTGGGGGTGAAACGTGGATTGGGTTTGAGTGTGATGGCATGAGAACGGGGAGCTGGCTCTGTAATTGGTTTTGTGGCGGTGGCAACAGTGATGCCTTTGGTGGATGGGTGGGACTTGTCCAAGGTTAATGCTGATGGCTGTGGTGCATGGCTCTCGTCAGGTGTGGAATGTGCTTGTGTGCTGGCGGCGGATTGTGTAGCTGAGCGTCGTCGGCGTGGCAGTGGGGATCGAGTGCGTGTCCTGGATCTGGATGTAGCCTGGGAAGCTGCACTGGTTGGAACAGCTGGAAAGGCTGAATAGCGGTGGTGTTCTTGTGTGCGTGGAGCTGGGTCACGCCAAATGCCTCGTGTAGTGCTAAGGGTGGGGGCAATGGAGGGTGTGGGTCTGGTTGAACGCGCCGCTGACCGGAATGATGCCGGATTGGTGGGCTTTGTAATGGGTGTTGGAGTGGAAAGGGTAGTGGTTTGGTCTGTGGAAGTGGCTTCGGTGGAATGCTGAGGTAAAGTTGCTGGTTGAGCAGTTGATGGTTGAGCAGGTGATGGGGCAGCAGGCGCTGTTGGTGTATCGTCAGGTACTGCAGGGATGGCTGTGTGTGTGGGATCCATTGAAGTAATCGATGTTGGTGGTGCGGTTGGCTGGGGGCGGATTGTGGCGCTTGTGGTTGTGGTTGTGGTGGCGTATGGTGAGCTGAAGTGGAAACGGCAATGTGCTGTGGGGCTGTAGGGAGTGGTTGTGGTGGATAATGTGGCGGGTGTGGCTGATAATGTGGCGCCGGTTGCGTGTAGTGTGTTTGTGGTGGGTATGTCGTGGGATGTGGGTAGACATGAGGTATTGGATGATGTGGTGGAAATGGTGGAAGTGTTGGAAATGGTTGCGGTGGAGCTTGTAGTGGATAAGAATACCAGTGTGGTTGTGCAGGCTGTGGGGGCGGCTGTAAGTGATGTGGTAATGAATACGGCCAGGGGTACGTCATGGCTGCTCGGCAAAAACCTGATCAAATCGGTGTATGCAAAGTAAATATGTAGATCAAAGTATTCCTTGAACAGGTGAGAAAATATTGTACAATACAATACTGGAGAGTGGAGAAGTGAGCGTCTGACTGGGGTCATTGTAGGTCTGATTAAAAATCTATTAAAATCTTCTACAGAAAAGTTAAAAGCTTCCGAAGAAAAGTTAAATTGAGAAGGGTTCCCGGGTGAAACAAATACAGTTGAACTCTGCAGTGAAATTCAATGGAGAATACAGTGAACTCTGCAGTAAAACTTCACGTGTGCAGGGTGAGACGTTCCAAGCAAGCTGATTTCGAGCAAGAAAATTCAATCGTGAAAGCTTCAGAAAGACTTCAGGAATCTTACTCCTGTGGTGAGGAGTGAAAAGGTTCTTGCAGTAACGGCGCCCCGTAGGGATCACACAGCTTACCACTGTGGGAAGAAGCTGCGGAAACACACTCGAGAAGGTTGCTCCGTGGAGCGGGTCTTCAGTCGGTCCGCGGTGAGCATTAGCCCTTTAAGATTACTGCAGGTTAGACCTTGACTGAAGAAATGCGGGGTCCGAGCAACAGTATTGTTGAACAAGAATGCAAGTGAAATGATTAAAACAATTTAAAAAATGGCAGGTACGTCGATTTGGCGTCCCAAATCGATTTCACAGACCAATGCAAGTGTCTTTGTTAGTGCCAGACTTGCATGGTCCCTGGCACCCCCTTCTGGTAAGCTGTACAAGCGGCTTGACAAGAGTAGTAGGGATAGCTAGTATAGGGCCCTTGGAAACAGGGTTGGACACACACACACACACACACACGCCTCAAAGGTTAAGCTCAGTCGTGCAATGTGCATCGCCTCTGCCTGTCAGTCTGCGTGGGAAGAACTTAGGATTGCACCAAACTAGTTTGTCATAGAGCCTTGTTTGTCTCAGGTCTACCACCTGCCATTGTCGTTTTGGACTTGGCAGGTTCTTGCCACTGGTGGCGATGACAAGCACGTCAACATTTGGAAGGTATGAGAAAGGGGCACTAATGGCTATGAATCCATGCAGTCAGAGTCAACTTGGCTCTTGTCCTGAAAAATGTTGCACGTGTCTATTTTTGGATTGTTCTTGTTATATTTAAGTTTAGACAATATATATATATATACATATTTAAAATCAAACTTACTTGTTCTGAAGCACATCTAAAGAACAAATTTGTTCATAGAAACTGGGAACTAACAAGAAACTAGTTGACGGTGAACTGGCTTCGTTTCCCTCGCGCTGTGCCACAAGTTTCCTTCGCCCGACAGCGGCCGTCGGCAGGTAGGAAAACCAAATGCCATGATGAGCCTGAAGGGACACACCAGCGCAGTCCACACTTCAGCTCCGAAGAAGAAAACAGATGAAAAAACTGTATACTTTGGGTCTGTCCAATTACCTGTAACAGACAGTAAAACAATTAGAGAAAGGCTTTGGGATAGACCCAATGTATACTAGTATACCTACTCACTCAGTAGTATCTACATTGGGCTTCGATTTGGCACCTCCATTCTGAATGACGCAGACAACAATTTGGTGGGCGCTTCAGGTCGAGTGCTTGGTTTTTGACAAGCAAGAGGAGGTCTTAATCGTTGGCTGCGCTGGTGGTTCCATGCAGTGCTGGAACCTGGAATACAGGAGAGGTGCATGTTGAGCGGTGCAATAAAAGACACGCCGAAAGGGGCCGTAGAAAGACACTTTGCTTCTATTCTATTTCTTTCCAGAATTGAACTTTTCCGCCAGATGGGGATGGAATAAAGAAGTAAAACTCGCCTGGACAACTCCAAACTCCAGACAATTATCCTTGTTGGACGCCAACTGCAGCACAAACAGCTGACCAGGAAGATGGCGGGCTCTTTAGCGGGCCATCGAAATGCCTGTACCTGTGTAGAGTTCTGGGGCTCAGTGCCGACGAGCGACTGTTATGCTTGTCGGCTCTCAATGACTGTCCAGGGACCTTGAAACTTCTAACAGGACCTGTGAGCCTCAAGCAACGTCCTTCAGCCCCGAGGAGCCCGGAGGCCATGCTTCACTCGCAACCCGGAGCCCTTCAGCCCAGGTTTCACCCCTATGGAGAATTCTTTGCTTCTGGCTCCAATGACACCAACTTGACGCTCACCACTCGCGGGCTTTAAGGGCGTTTGGGACAGGTGAAACGATTCCCAAAGAAGCTTCTAGTTACTAGAAAGCTTTATTGTTACTAGTAGCGATGGCCTCCAACCTACTAGCGACGCTTCTAGTTACTGCACTAGAAAGCTTAAGATTTCTACTCAAGTGAGGTCATGCTTCAATTGCCGTGCAACAATGTCATGTAGGACACCTACCACATGCCCTAAGGCTTCAACAGCATTTCTTTTGAGCAATTCTTTCTACAAAGGCCGAGGCCATTTTACCATTGCCACGGTTCGTTTTGCCAAGGAAGATTTGGGACCTCAGGCGGAAATCCTGCATCCAAACCTACCCAGGCGGCTTTTGTCAAAAAATCACCAGAGGAGTGAGAGAGCTTGCATGGGATAGTGAGTAGGGCATGAATGGCTGCAGCGTGATTTTTCTCTTCTTTGGCCCCTAGTTGCCACAATGTATGCTGCTGAACAGCAGTTTCCCTGAAATCCAGACAACGACAGCCAGGGTTGTAGAGATCCTTGGAGCAATGGCCCGTGTCCCATTAAAACAGTCTTCTCCCTCATCTCTAAAGCGCGGGCGCCCCAACGGGGCTTCCTTTACTTCCGCATCGAGTGCCAGTGCAATCCTTTCAGCTGCTGGAAGAGCATCGCAGGCCACTCTGCCCCAGTGAGCAGCATTCGTTTCAGCCCGCATGGACGCTGGGTGGCGACAGGCGGCCTTGATAACCAGGCCAGAAGTGTAGATCAGAGCAAGCACCGACAGGCAGACACAAGACCTAAGAACAGATTTCCTTGGAGGACTGAGCTCCTCAAACTGAGGACTGACCTGGACTTTGCTAAACATGTGAGCCCCGTGACGACTGGACAGAGCCCACAGACTCCAGGTGAAGATCTGGGACCTGACCGCTGGGAAGCAGATGAAAGACCTTGATCTACACAAGGCAGGTGACCGAAGGAGATAGGCGATGTGAGATAGGCTAAGATAGCCTACTACGTAGCAACGTAGTCCTATTACTACATACTTGATAGCTGTAAGTTAGGGCCATCCCAAGACCTAAGAGTACTCAGACTAGTCCTTCGCGAAGCGGTGACTGCGCCATTGGCCATCCTAAGGGCGCGGTGACTTCGTTGGCTTTCCATCCCAAGGAGTACCTCTTGGTCTCTGGCGCCGGGCTGGTGGATCGGTCGATCGGATCGATCGGTCTTGGTCTCGTCCGTGGAGTGACCAGGAGCCTCTTAGGTGGCCTTTGAGGCTTTGAGGGACTGACTTGTAGGCTTTTTGGGTGTGCTGTTAAACTTGCCATTTCTATTTTTTAATATCGATTGGGCTCTTCTTCCGCTCAATTTTTGACGTTAACGTGCTGACAATCAACCTGAAGGCTGCTTGAGTGGATTTTGAAAGCTTCTCGAGCACCCTGAGAAGCATTTAGAACTGATGATATGCATCTGTGATTCAGCCATTTGCCACCTGTGAAAACAAATACACATATATATATATATGAAAAGCAGGTTCAAGCACGGCCCTTTTCTATGGAACCCTAGGGGCTAGATCTGGTGAAATGTCGCGGAACGTATTCAAATGAATTTGCACTCCCACTTTTTGGTTGGAGTCATACCTGGAGGACACATTGAACCAGAACAAAAACCGAAAACAAACCAAGTCCGGGAGCGCCCCAGACAAGAAGAAAAACAACACAGAAACCACTAAGAGTCCTTGCTTGTTTGTTGGTGATGTTGCTTGTGAATGTTGCTTCTGTTTTGTTGTTCATGTTCTTTGTCTGTGTGTTGTGCATCATCGATGTCGACGAGTCGGAGTCCTGCTGCACGACGTTTCTTCTGTGATGCTCTCATCTCATCATGTCGAATCCGCCATCTTTGCCCCAACTGTAAAAACAACCAGCCCTGACCCTTCTCCGATGTCTTTGTCCACACGTTGGCCAAGATCCCTCCACCGTCAACCCAGCACACTTCAACACCACCTTGTTGTAAGTTTTGTCGAAGGCTCATGGCTTCTATGCCGGATCTTTTTTCGGCTCCCTTTACTGAGGGAGTTGCACGAACCAACTTGTCAAAAAGATTCTTTGCATCTGTGATGAAGAGTCCTTTCACTTGTTTGGCTGTTTTGTCCACATCTCTTGTATTGATCTGCTTGCCTTGCATCTCTGCCCAAAGAAATCTCAGAAATGTCAAGTCGTCTTCTCCATCCAAACCAGCCATGCACTCAGCGCTTGCTGGGGAACGGCAAATCCTGTCGATCTTCCCTGATCGCCAATGGATGGCAGTGACACGGGCCTCTTGACCTTCTCGGAGATGTCGGGTTGACATCCCCACAAAGATTCCTTCTGTCGAATCCAGCCCATTGGGACGGTTGGCGTGAGCTGCATCTGTCCAGACAGCCAACTCTAACTCCTCCGTGGGTGGAAAGGCATGGATCTTGTAAACCTGATCAGCTGTCCTCTTAATGTTTCTGATCAGCTTGTTTGTGTCATTGATGTCAGCCACGGTACTGTTTGGTATCTTTGTCAACAGTATATTCACATCCACTGCAAAAAAGAACACTGTTTGTCCTGTCAACCATGATAATGACCCTAATGCACCCCGCAATAAAGTCTTCTCAGCATCCGTGGTGGGACTTTCAGTCAACCTGCTTCTATCCCGTGACAAATGGATTTCCTCTAGCTCTTGGATGAATTTGGATTGTTTCATCTCAATGCTGAAATCACTCTTCTGTTGTATTTCAATGCCACATTGTACAAATTGCAGTGTCTCCCAAGTGCCCCATTTAAACCTGTTCCGCAATGCTTGCATCAGTCGTTGATGTTCGCTGCACCCTGCTGCCCCTGCAAACATGAAATCATCGACATGTGCATGTATTGCACTTTTGACCGTTCCCTGGGAATCCTTCCAGATCCAACAACATGGTTCAACTTGAAGCTGATGATATCCCAACGTCTGAAGAAATTTGTTGACACTTTCATGCCAATGTAGTGGTGCTTGTACCAGACCGTATGCTGCTTTCTTCATCAACATTACGGAGTCCGGGGGGAGGCCATAGGCCTCTGTGATTTCCCTGACGGGACGACACCAAAGTTCTTCTTGTAAATCATCACCTTGAAGAAATGCCCCAGAGATATCACCCTTTTCCAACACCCACTGTTTCCAGGCCGTCATCTGCAAAAACAATTGTCGACCTGCGCGTGATGGTGTCGGTGCTGCTGTTGGTCTTTCGAAATACCTTGGGTCTTGGTATCCGAGGACTATTGCCCTTGCTTTTGCTTTTCTGTTGTTGTCCTCATCAAATTTCCAACTCAATAGCCACCGCATGCCCACCACCTTGCTTTCATCGACCTGCTTGCGAGCTGCTTCAAAACATTCCGATGCCACAAAGTTTCTTACTTCCTTCTGTTTTGCTTTGATGAACTCTAGGATTTCTTCCTTGTTCAACTTCCTCTCGTTCACCTCCAGTTGCTTGCGTTTCATCATGCTGCAAATGTATGCCTCTGGATTGGCTGCAAACTTCTTCCAGCCACGCTTGGATGTTGGCATCTCAATGTTAACTTCCACTGCTGTGCGGTTCTCTTCCGTGGCATAGAAGGCATGCAGGTCCATGTCTTCCGGTGTATCACGATGGCCTGTTGACTCTCCTCCAGGGTTTTGGTGAGATGGTTCAGCTGGTAGCATCTCCCAATCCCCGTCATCTGCCTCAATGTCCGAAGGATCTTCCAAAGTCTTTCGCTTGTTGTCTGCTATGCGTTGTTCCTCTGTTTTTGTTGGTTTGCCAACAACTGGTGATTGTACAATGCATGGTCCCTTGCCTGTCTGTCGATGTGTGGGTGCTCCCAAATCTCGACCATCTGGCCCGATTGGCAACTCTTCTGCTTGTTCCCACTGTTGTGTTGTAGGAATCTCCTGAGTGATGTCCAAAAAATGTCCTCCTTTTTGGGTCTGTGGCCAATGTCGTAATGGTCCATGGTAGTTCCACGGGTCCCTTTAAGGCTTCCAACTGTTGTTCATATGGCGAAGCCCTTCTCAATTGTTCTGGAGCTGCCCGTAGTAATCTTCCTGCACGGTGGAGCCAGATGATGGACCCTGGTCGAAGATTTCCTTCTGTGTCTCTTCGAGTCTCCGTAGCCAATACCCGGGCTGGACCCAGGAATCTGCCCACTGTTTGTGTTGTCTTCTCCTTGAGTGGAACTTGTTTTCTCCAGAAATACACCAAATCCCCTGGGACGTAGTCGGTGAATCGTCTATGTCCACTTCTTTCTGCTCTCTCCAGTCTTCTTTTTGCTATCTCTTCTGCGAAAGCTTGACTTGCTGTTCGTCGGATGTGGATGTCCTCTCTGAATCCCCCATCTTCCAGGAAACCTGGATGGGGGGTCCTCAAAGCAACGTCCTGACTCATCTGGTGCTCTGCCCAAAACCTGTTGCATTGGTGTGTATCCTTTGTATTGCTCCTCATTGTTGCACACCCACGTGCTTCTAGCTATGACTTCAGTGGCCTCCATGTCCATGTCAGGAAACTCCTCGACTAGTTTTTCTGCTACACCTTTCAATGTCTTGGTCGCCCCCTCCACAATGCCGATCTGCCAATGACTCTCGCCTGGAATTGGGACGTATTCGATGCCTTTCTTGGCAAAGTACTGGTCTGCCTCCTCGGACATCCAAGGACCTCCGGGATCGATGCGAATCACTTGCGGGTGTCCAAAAATTGAAAACCACTGCTCTTCCAAAATATGACGTATTTGCTCCCATGTGGTCCTGTTTCCCTTGCCTGTGTTTGCCACTCTAGTCATTCTGAATCGGGTGCCCTCATCTATCATCACCAACACATGATGTTTTTCCTTCGTTTTGGGATGCATCCATGTGAACATATCAACCTGGAGTCTTTCCCATTTTTGTGGGAGTGTCTCGAGAGTTGCAAACTTTCGTGGATCCTTCCTATGACGATGTTCACAAATGGTGCATTTCCAACCTTTGGCAACTTGTAACACTTTTGGATGTGCTCCACGAAGCTCTAATGCTTTGATCATATTCGACAACCTGCTGTGACCTGTACTGCAATGTATTTTGTGAATCTTGCGAACAATCTCTTGTCTCTCCTGTTCCTCGATGTCCAGCTGCTCCACGGCTTGTTCAGGATGTTGATCAGCTGCTGCAGCCACTTCTTGTTGATCATGGAGTTCATCAATGATCCTGGCCCAAACTTCGCACTCTGTCAAGGAATCTACCACTTTGCGAGCGAATGCCGGTGTGTACCGTGCTGTATGTGCTGTTTCTCCACGTTCACATTTTCCTTTTGGGTGATTCTTCTGGCATCGCAGGTTCATATGTTGTAGTAGTGCTGCATTCTTGGTGGATATGGTCCATGCTTTGCATAAAGCTGTCTTGCCGTCCCTTGTTCGTAGCCCCACGGTGCACCCATTGCAAGTCACCCTTTTGAGACCATGCCGCTGTTCATAGTCCTGCACAAATCTAGGGTCCAAGCTTGACACCGTTGAGACAACTCCCAATGGACTTCTGTTCCTACCTTCCATGCTTCTTCGGCCACTTGTATTGCCCCCCTGATACTGGAGTTTTGCTTGAGCTTGTTTCTGATCAAGTCGGGCTGCCTGTTCAGGGGTCCTTCGATTGATGGCTTGAAGCGGACAAAAAAGGAGCACAATCACATGAAATCCACAAATGAACAGGTCGGAGTTGTCTAATCTGCTGCTTGGCGAAAGCTACACCGGCTGCGGTCTCCAGATTGGCTCCATTCCAATCTGACAAACGATGTGCTGACCCTTGACCAAACCTGCGTTCAACTTCCGTGGACAAAATGCTGTTGGGATAACATGCCAACTCAACCAACAAGGTTTTGTGACTCCAAACAAGATTCGGCCAACTCTTACTGTATGGATTTCTCTGAAGGTGCCAGATCTTGGCCAGGGTCAATGCGGACTCCTCGGAAAGAGGATTCTCAGGCGCAGCCATCGCACTCACATCTCCTTCCGGTTCTTGGGGCGGCCCTCGGTGTGACTCATCTCGGCCTTCTCGACCTGGAGAGCTTCCTCTTGGGCAGCCACGGATTGGATCTTGTCCTGTAGGACTTGACGCATCTGCTCGAGGTCGGCCAGGTCCTGCATCATCTGGGATTTGTTTGGAGATGTCTTCTCCTCTGGATATCCC